GACAGACAGACAGACAGACAGACAGACAGACAGACAGACGGTGTCTGATTTGTGTTTTCTTTGTTGGCAGGAACAACAATTCATTCCCTGACCAGTTTGCTTGAGTGGCCTTTAAGTCCACCCAGATACTGATAATGAAGTAAAGACTATAGCTTTGAGAGGAACCAAATGGGGCGACGCAAATCAAATTACAGGATTACATAAAAATCGGCCTTTCCCTGAGCTCAGCGGAGTGTAGCAGATCAAAGACAGTCAGCGGAGAAGCAGCCAAAGAATTTAGTGAATTTGCTGAAGTGACCGCAGGGCTTCTCTGCAGGGAAGAGGGCAAAACGGGACCATCTGCTGCTATTTTTAGACAAACTGCTTACAGGGCTGGCACACGGACACCGGCGCTGAGTTTGTCATCTGTAATGTAAAACATGTGCAGAGCATGACACCACGATCACAAGTAGTGCTCAACTACCAGAAATGATGCGTTTAGGAAATTGGATGCTGACGTGACTGTGAAAAATGTTGTTTACTGAATGTTCTCACCAGAGGAGTTGTAACCAAATTATGCAGAAATATGCCCTCCTCTTCTAATTCCTTTACAAGAACAATTAAAGCTTTATTTGTAACACTGTCGCAGTAATTAGGTAAAGGGCTTTCAGCAAACATCGTGGAACCTAAAGTTCAGAAAATGTGCTTGACCACAGCGCCTGTAGTTATCGATTGTCAAACGTTCTGGAAACTGAGCAGGCCCACTTTATTCAAGAATCAAAATGAGGAACAAAGTCAGTGTTGTTTAATAAAAGAGCTGCAGATGTGGGGCTTATCAATGGATACTAACAATGTTTTGGGACCTCAACATTTGCTGGAAAGATCAGCTTCTCTTAGAGGTTTTGGCTTTTCTCAGGAAAGAATGATCTGTCCCAGACAGAAGTGAGTTTCGGGAAACATTTCATGAGGAAAATGGGGTTTTTATTGTTGTTGAGTAAACTGTCCGTCAAGCATGAAAAATAGACATTTCTTAATGAACACATCCTAAAACGAGATGCTCACATCTTAAATGAAAATAACTTGGCCTCAGTCAGGTGAGACCTAAACTTCTGATCACCTCCTGGTTCACTGTGATCGGTCACTAAATGCTCAGGGAGCCGACTAATGTTTTACCCAGAACTTGATTTCCAATCCAGAGCCTTCCACCATCAGCTAGCAGTGAAAACCAGCTCCCCCTATTGTTTACCTCCCTGGCAGGAGGTGAGGGGTGTACAGAGTGTACTTGTACCAGCAGGGCCTGGGAAAAAAAAAAGCTGCCGCCACAGTGGCATAATTGATGTGAACACGACGGGTTGTTTTGTTGTGAGTCTGTGTGGTAGTGTCGGCTGCGCCGTGGCAGCATATGGCAAACTTTGTCGTCGCTTTGGGGAAAATGTGTGACATCAGAGCCTCATGTTTGCCGCCTGGAGCTGATTGTAATGTGCAGTGGCCAGCACTCATCTGTTGAAATGTTTTACTGACTCCCACACTTGAGCTCTTCTTGAACAGACTGCTATTAAGTGTTGCTCAAACCTTGGATTTTTAGAGCATTTCATGGGAGGGCGCACAGTTCTGTACAGATGACTGCAGTTTGCAATCTCACACACAGCATCTTGTCTTCATTTGATTTTGATGTTGTTGAAAAAAGCAGAAAGGACAAATTCCTCAAGTCAAAACACAGTTTGTTCCTTAATAATTAATATATTTTCCAATAACTCCATGCTTTAATCTTAAATTTCCCCATAAGGAAAGCCCATGGCAAAGGCTTTAATACACTGCCGATGTTGCAGTTTGTTTTTTCCTTTTCCTGATTGAAGCACAGGAGCTCTTTATTTAGATGAGCATGTTGTTGGCTCACCCCTTACTGATCTTGTTAAAGGTGGGCAAATGCTAGGTGTTTTAATAGGAAAGCATCCGGTTCATTGTTCTGCATTTAGATGAGAAGCTTGAATGTGGCATACCACTCTCATTCACCTACTTGGGCAGGGGTCTGGGAATAGCATTAGGTGGGCGATTAAATGATCAGCGGGTGAACTTTCCTCTCAGTTTTTTCATTGTGCTGCCTGATCAGAGACCTCACATCACTGTGTCGAATACAAGTTCAAGCTGGATCACATATGCTTTTTTGCAGTACCTTCAGATGTTCCCTGAATTCATTAGCAGCTCTTTTTCAGTGATTAATGGAGTGTTTTTGCAGCTCTGTTTTCTTTGGGAAGAGGCTGTGGAAGTGGTCGGAGGGAAGCGAGAGGGGGTGAAAGGGGTTATGAGTGCAATTGTTAAATTAGGAAAACAAAAACAGTCTGCAGAGATGGTGTGATACCAACTGGAGATTAATTAAAATTTGTATCACACCCAGTGATGAGAGCTTATCCAGGGTCATTATGCTGCAGTTCACAGGATGGCAAGAATCCTTTTGTCTCATGAATTTCATGACAAGCTTCACATAAAGTGCCCCTTCAGCCCAGACTTTTTATGAGCTTTGAGGAGAAATGCTTGAGTTTTTTTTTTCATTCTTTTGTGTAAAATGTGCCGTCTGGGACCAAAACTTTAAGAACAAACAAGATTAAGCAGAATTTTTATTTAAGTGGAATTAAGTGAAACGCAGTAGAGGAATGCACCACAAGCTGCTGTATTTTCATGGTGGGCTCAGCATTTCACTGTACTTTCTAACAATAAATTTCAATTATCTTTTCATCTGCTTTCTTCCAAGTAAACAAAAGACAAATGAGAAGCAAATGCTGTCTGAGAATCGAGGACATCATTAAGCTTTTAACTTAAATTTACTGTAACAACAACAACATATAATTGTATTTCAAAAGAAACACATTTGCTGTCAAACATTTGTCTTCATCAACCACTTTCTTGCCTTGTGAGTGCAGCATGTTCCTGGATTGATGACACCACGAGTGGCAGCACAGAAAAATGAGCAAATAAGTGTGATCTGATCCTGTGGAAGCTAAGTAACATGCTGTTCTGTTGGTATTTTCTCATCTACAGTCATTTCTGTCATGTCTTCTGGCCGCGTGTCCAAAAGCCCACTCTTGGACAAAATCACAGACTCTTCCACTGACTGTAATTAACAGTTCATTCACACAGCAAATCAAAGCATACACAAGAGTCAGTGTTTCTTCACATCTTCATGTTTTAGCTTGGATGGATTTTCATGCATACTTTGTGGTTCTGTTTTTCACTGGTTCTCTTCTTTTTTTTTTTTCTGCACAAAACCACAGGCCTATGCCGCCTTTTGCAAGGCTGTTGCATAAAACATTTAAATTCATTACCATTAAGGTCAAAGAGTGGAACGGCAAACAGTTTTATGCGTTATTTATGTAATGATTAGGTTCATT